GACTCGTATGAGATCGAGGAGCCGAGCGACGAGGAGAGAGCCTCCAGCAGGTCGGAATTCACGACGACAGTTAGCTTTAAGACGGTGTAGCTTTAGCACCGTGAGGCTACGGTGCGGCTAGCTAGCTGCATGCTAACGTAAACAAACAGTTACGAATGAAGTTTTTTCTATAAACGTAGATTTTTATTAATCTAACATTAAAGACCTGACGGCAGAGCTGTTAGCTGTCGGTGCTTAAATCTCCCGCCAACTTTGTCTTTGTTGTAGTGCTGTTTATTAACACGATAATAATGTAAGATCATACCAGTCAACACAGCCTGGGGTTAAAGATACAAACAGCCACGAGTATAAAAACTCATATTTGTGTTGGAGGAGAAATCATAATTCTGAAGTTGTAAGTAAAGCAAGTAAATACACAGAAGTAGATTTAAAGTTGATTTATTCGTCTTAGTGTTATTTTTTTTGCATAAGGACAAGTTTCCTGATGAACCATGTTATTTATGTTTAAAGATGAGTTTAAGACTAGCGAATGTAATGAAATGATTAAAACGAAGCATATTTGGAAGTGGTGTGATCTTATCGGCTCCTGGTTGGTGCCAGGATAGATTGATTTCTAAGAATTGAAATATCAATCGGTGTCCTCGTGTTGATTAATCAATGAATTGTTTGGTCTATTAGATGTCAGCCAACAGTGAGTCCTCACAGCTCTGTGTGTTCGGAGGCGGGTGAGAATCAGGGCTGGAGTCGTTAGTTGACCTGTAGCCTGAGTAGGTGAAACAGAACAAAATGTTAACTCCTCTCTTTCTCTCTCTCTGTCTCTGTCTCTCTGTGTTTCAGTTCGGAGGACGAGCTGGACGTGCTGCTGAACGGGACTCCGGACCAGAAGAAGAAACTGATCAGAGAGTATCTGACGGGGGAAAGCGAGTCGTCCAGCGGGGATGAGTTTGAGAAGGAGATGGAGGCTGAGCTCAGCTCCACCATCAGGACCATGGAGGGAACCTGGGCACCATCAGGAACAGGTAACACTCAGCTGCAGTCACCATGAAAAGAAAACATTACACACAGAACAATAAATGACAAAGTAATAAATAAAAACAATAAAGATAAGACAATAATAACAGGAACTGAGGAAACACTGAAGACTGGAGCAAAGATAAAGATCAATCAATGAAACACTTTAACAGAGGAGATGTATTGAGTAAAGTGAGTAAAAGCAGAAATAAAAGTACAAATAAAATCCAGTAAAACAGCTCAAAATATATAAATAAATAAATAAATAAATAAATAGAAAGTTAAATAAATAAAATTTAATTAAAAGCCAGACTAAAATGTTCAGAGTTGAGTTTGCTTTTAAAAAATTATATCAAAGCTTTGGGCTGTTAATTAATGGAACCTAAATCTTTGTTAGACTGAAAAGCGACAGTTAACCCCACAATTAATGGACTAACCTGCTCACTGTGCTCTGTGAAACACGACCTACCATCTTTGTGTGTTTGTTCTCCAGCAGAAACCTCAGGAGGAGGAGGAGCAGCAGGAGGAGGAGGTGGTGGTCCTGGACTTCTGAATCCTCGGATGTATGATAACATCTACTTCGACTCTGACTCAGAGGGAGAGGACACGCCAAGTAAACATGTCATCACTATGAATTATTATGTTCTGTATGGATCCACATATATGATTCGTCATTACATTGACTCTCTGACCCTCTGCAGGCAGCTCCACAGGCCAGAGGCGGAGACAGCGGATCATACCGACCAATGACGAGCTGCTGTACGACCCCGACGAGGACGACAGAGACCAGGCCTGGGTGGACGCCAGGAGGAGACAGTAAGACACTCAGACAGTTCACCTGGAAAAGACTGACACTAGGTTTTGTCACGTTGTAGTCATCTGCTCTCTCGTCTTCCTGTCCAGGTACAACAGCAGGAAACGACCAGCAGGGGCGTTTCGCTCGCAGTCTCGTCGGACTCAGGGTTTACCCAGCAGTGACGCTGTCCTCAACTGTCCCGCCTGCATGACCACGCTCTGTCTGGACTGTCAGAGGTGAGACTTACACTTAGCACTCACTCCAACAAAGTGAGGGATGTTGGAAGAAACTATTTCTGTTCCTTTTTACATCACCTGCCCAGACCAACACACACCTGTTGGGCTGCTCTCTTCTTCATGTGGTGTTTTGTTTTACTCAGTCCATCAAATTCTGATTTGGAAGATAATTAAGGAGAGAAGTAAAGTCATTTTCAAAAGTGTGTTTTTGAGATTAGGAAGTTTTAAAAGTCAGCAAGTCATGGCAGATACCCCTAATTTGCATAAGGTATAATAGAAGTAAAGGTAAAAAATTTCAAAATAAAAGCCAAGAAGATCTGTAAAATTGGAAAAAAAGTAATAAAAAACAGTCTTTTTTCCATACTTTGACACTTTAAAATGGAAAAATTAACTTCCTGTAAGTACTCGGACTGAAACACATGATCAAACAATGAATCAACAGCGTGACTGAAATGTGTTAGCTGCAGTTCAGAGACAAACATTATCAGAGAAGCTGGGCTTTAATCAATATTCATTCTGTGATCTGGTTTCTGTTGTTAACATGTCTCAGTATCTGAACTAGTTTCAGCTGTCAGCTTGACTTCAGCTGATCTCATTGGCTTTATTTACTGATGAAATGCCGACTGATACGTTTACAGGGTTCAGCTACATTGAGATGTCTTGGTTGTGTCCACTCAGGCATGAGAAGTACCGGACGCAGTACAGAGCCATGTTCGTCATGAACTGCACGGTGAAGAGAGACGAGGTGTTACGCTATAAAACGCAGCAGGAGAAGAAGCAGAGGAACAGGAAGAGGAGGAGGGGCCAGAAAACGGAAACACCAGCAAACGAGGCTCCCGACCCGTCGCCGGCGGGGATGGATGCTGACGAGGTTTACCACCCGGTGCAGTGCTCCGAGTGCTCTACAGAGGTGGCCGTGTTCGATAAAGAAGAGGTTTACCACTTCTTCAACATCCTGGCCAGCCACTGCTGAGACGGAGCGAGCGAGCTCTGAGCAGGACGCATTTTTATTTCAGCAGTTTGTCTCTGGCTCCTCGCCTCAGCTTTGTGATTTAAGAAGAACCAGGTCAGCTGCTTCTTCAGCATCCCGCCTGAGACGGAGAATCCTGCTGTGAGTCTCTCCTAGGCGCCAATCTGTTGGTCAGGAATCAGGAAAGCAGAGGAACGTCAGCAGCACGTCACCTGTCCGTGAAACCTTTGAAATATCTGACTAAAGCTGGAATCGGGCTCTGAACATCTGCTGGTTGCAGCTCTGGTGGACGTACTGAACTGTAAACACAAGAGCCCGACTGACACATGATCCAATATCAATGTTGATTTGATTTGAGAAGGACAAACATCAGATAGTGGCAGTTACCTAAACACGTCACAGTCACAAACCTTTCTAATAATTTTTATTAACTTTCTTTTTTTTTAAGGATTGTGAGCTGGGTGATGTACTGGGACATTTCAAGGTCAAAAAATAAACTCGTCAGTGCTGTCTGCTGAACAGACACTTGTTTTTTGAGATTTGTCTACTGACATATATGCACGATCTAGCTGCAATAAGATTTTTTGGTATCTCTCTAGTACACAGTGAACTTGTGCAGTCTCATAGGATCAAACTCCTTTTCCCCCTGGTGTCCTTCAGAGTCGGCTGTAAGGCAGTAGGACTTGAGAGATACTGTGCAGACTGTAGTTGCTGTTTGGTTTATTGAAGCTCTCTGGGCTTCATGGTTTAAGATCTACTAGACCAGCTTTTAGTTTCACAACAGGGTTGACATTATTCTATATTTTTGTTACTGTCAACAAATCCCATAAAAAGACCCAAACGACTTCCTTACTCTGTCTGTTGTTCATTGGTTTCTTCTGAAGTAAATCTCACTAAAGTGAAGTTCAATTTAAAAAAGTTATTTCTTAAAACAGCTGCTCTGTGTAGTTTTTATCAAACGAAGGAAGGAAATTAGCCACACAGAATGAAAATCTGCCAATCATGTAAAATGAGCTCCATACAAATACAACACGCTCTACATAGAATTACAAACTAAAGTATGCTTTATTTAGATTTTTTTTCAAGTGCTTTTGTATTAAAAACATTTTCCATTTCATCTTACTAAAACTTTTACATTGAAATAATCACAACTTCTGAATTAAGATACATGCATACAAATGAAATAAATAAGATAAGGTGAAATAAATGCAACATATAAATAAGGATAATGAAAAAAATAGCACAAAAAATATTTCCAAAAGGAAAAAAAAACAAACTATATACAAAGGGGTACCATTAAAGATAACAAAGATATTAAAGGAAAATATTTATGGCTTTACAAGTTTCTACTATTTTTATTGCTTTACTGTTCTTTATTTCATGTAATGAATTAATAGTGTCTAATTTTTATTTTGAATTCTTGGATGTGTGGTTTCTTTTGCATTGATGGATGTAGTATTTTCCATAGAGTCAAAATATATATATATTTTTTTACAATCAATATAATTCTTATAAAAAATATAATTTTTCTAAATTAATAGTTGAACTATTCAGCATCTTAAAGAAATATTCTTTATCTAACCAAAACAATTTATTAGACAGGCATTCATAAAATAACTGACAAATACTCAGTTTCGTAATTGCAAAATACATATTTTTCATCAATATCATGTCTGAATCATGAAAGTACCTGGTTTACAGGATAAATCAAGTGTATGATTTTACACTAAACTTCCCTAATTTTGTTTATAACAAAATATTTTTTATTATAATTCTTATTTCTTAAAGAATTTCAAACTTTTTTCCATTTTATATTTTCAAATCTCGAGTTCAAAAACAGATTGGCAGGAAGGAGTGCTTTGTTTTGAAATCAGGATGTTGGAACTCCCTGGTCTGCGTCACAGCCGAATGCTCGTACGCGGAGTTGTGATTGGCTGAAAACGAGCACCTTATGATACGACGGTAGTCGTCAGTACGTTAACAGAAATTACCCTACCACGAGTCACGTCGAAAGGAAAAAAAACAGCGAGGAAAGAAAAATAAGTTGTCGTTTGTGAAGTTGGGACCATGGCCCTGGGTGACTGTTGGAAGCAGTTATCGTGGTTTTACTATCAGTACCTTCTGGTGACGGCGCTGTACATGCTGGAGCCTTGGGAGCGGACGGTGTTCAGTATCCTTTTCCGAGTGAACTAACTTCAGCCTTACCGAGCGAGCTAACATGCTAACTTAAGCTAGAGCGGTAGCAGGGCTAACTCATGATGCTAACCTTTCTAGTGAATAAACGCATTTAATTTGTGTTGTGAGTAACAGTTGAGGTATTTTATAAAGTTGCATCGGTTTATGTAAAATTCGGCATATAGACAATGTACTGTTGAGCCTCTTGTCGTTGAAACTGCCATGAATTAAACGTTTAAATAGTAGCAAACCTATACGAAGACAAATTGTGTGTGTACTAAAAATTGGATAATGTTTTTATTTTTTAATGAATGCCGAACTAAGTAATCAACTCTAATGTTTCAGAAAACTCCCAAATATTTGTTCTACAACGGACGTGTGTTAATCTGTGAGGGAATTATCATTAAACGCGTAGAATGTAAAAGGAGTTTTGAGTGGATTGCTGCGAACAGTTTGCGGAAGAGAAAAAAACAATCGTATTTGTAGTAAGAATTCATTCATGTTTGTTTTTTGAATAACCGTCGAATTAAAGCCTCTCTGCTAACGGATTAAAAGGGGTCTCCATTTCCGTTGTAGTGCTCTCGCACCTTTACCTGTAAGTAAAAACACACAAGAGGCGAAATTGTCAACGGAATTTGACATATGGTTTACTTCGTAGAAGAAGAAGAAGGGCGGCGTCGAGGCTAAGCTAGCTGCGGCTATTTAAATTTGCTTCCACAGTCAGGTGATCCACATGTGCCAGTAAATGGATGTTACATCATATGTACTTTTTTCATATTTGGATAAGGTAAACTTAAACCTGGAGAGTCAGGTTCATCCAGAAGAAAAGATTGGCAGTTAATATTTAAAGTGTACCTTGTTAATAGCTGTACTTTGATCCGTGGAGGTGCAGTAAGACAGTATCACATTATGTGCATGATGTGTTGGTAGGTGTCGCCCTCAGCCTGTATCCTGTCTTCCCTCAGGGGTCAGGTGTGATGGAGTGAATTAGTTAGAGGTTGTGTTATTGTCAGAGTGCTGTATCCCATCCGATGTTAAGTATTGCAGCTGCTCAGATATCACGCTGGTAATTGTTATGAAATCAATTTGCAGAAAATGAATCACAGTTGATTTTTTTTTTTTTTTTTACCAAAAAATACCAAATAAGCTCCGGTCACAGCTTCATGAATGTTCACACAAACTTGATTTCCATTTGACATGAAGAATTTCACATAAACATAAACATCCCATTCATTTCCTCACAGAGAATAAGTCGTTAAGTGACTGACAAAAATTCAGACTTGATGTGAAACTGACTCGAAGCTCAATTTCTTTATTTTTTGCTCCTGGTGTTAGAAACAGTTTGTGTCTCTGCTCCTTCAGAAGTTCTCCCTTAACCTTTCCTCCTCAGACTCACTGCTGGTCTCCGTGGCTGGCATGGCCATTTACACTGGCTACGTCTTCATGCCTCAGCACATCATGGCTATCCTTCACTACTTCGAGGTCATCCAGTGACACGATGACTCCGTCCGTCCCCCCGCCGGTCCCATCTGTCTCTGGCTTCCTGTCCGTCCCTCTGCCTGCCTTCCTGTCTCTCCTGGGTTTAAGGTCGGGCTTGTTTCCAACCATGTTAAGGCAGAGCGTCTCTCCTCCTCTCCAAAGTTAATTCACTACCAAAGGTCAAAACACTGAACGTCGTGCTGGAGGCCGAGTCGGACGATGTCATTCCCTGGGACTGTTTCTTCTTCTTCACTCGTATGAAATGTTCCCTGATTATGAACAGTGTTGGGCTCGGAGGTGAGGCCTTGGAAGAGTGTGCTTAGTTTTGTTTCATGTGTTCTGTTTGAATCAAGCGCACCTTACAGTTTTGAAAATGTGTAATTTATGGATGTGACTGGACAGTTTTATTTTTATTCCATGAAGAAATCAAACCATTGTTGTCTCAGAGTTTTATTCGGGAGCAGGAAACACAGCGATGGATGGAGAGAATATATTTTTGAGCCAAATATGATGATTATAGCAGCATCAGATCTCTGAGTGAGGCTGGGTTGTTTTTTATCAAAGTGGGCACTAACTGCTATTAAGGAACATTTTCAGCCATTTTTGTCCTTCACCATCATTTTCCTGCAGTTTTAAAGCCTCTGTTTCAACATACAGACACTGTCAGTGCCTGATGCAGCATCGTAACTGTCAGGTGGAGGTGATCTGAACTTTTAACCATATCCCATGGCTTTCTTCAGACGTGTTTAATGATGCACACCAACATCTTTTTCAGTGAGGGTTTTTTGTCATAATTGAAGATGTAAATTGACTGAAGCAGTGTTCCCATTTCAGAGACCGCCGATGAGGACAAACGTGCTGCAACGGCCCAAAACAACGGGCTGCAAATTCAGAAACATACTAAAATAAAACAAACAGCCAAATGAATTAACCTCGCTCAAAACATTATAATATTTTTATTATTTGTAGTTTTTCCTTTCAAAAGTTGAAGTATCTTTGAAACTGCAGAATGGTTGTAAAGTCTGCTGGAGCTTGTGCAGTTGTATCAGTTGGAATAACGGTTGTATCTGTCAGTCATCTGCTCGTACGTTAAACCTCCAGTTCAGCTCTACATTAGATTTTTTCACCACAGAGTAACGTCGGGTTTAAGCCTCAAAAAACAAACACAATGTGGTGAGTTGAACGGAGACGCCAACTCCTGTTCTTCTTCTGTTAGACGCATCAAATCCCCTGTGAGGAGCACGATGGGAAATAGACAAATACACGATCAATCACACTTATCATCCGTCATATATTTATTGTCAATAAGTGTAATGTGCAGATTATTATTTTACTCTTGAAATAACACTCCGGCTCGAAGGAGAGAATCTGACGACTCTTTGTCCTGCAGCTGGTCATGGCTGCAGCTGCTAGAACATACGCAACGCTCTGGTGACAGTTCTGTGGTCGAGGATGAAGTGACACCTGACCGTGTAGAGAGCGTTACAGAGAGTAGCCCTGCGTGATGGAAAATGACGGCTGACAGGTTGGAAACGACACGGTTCATCCTTTAAACTCCCACTTTTGTTGTAAACCGCACAGCAGGCAAATGTTAACGGTTTCCTCTTTGCACAGAAACGTTAAATGTTTAAGAAGTTCCATTTTTACTGTCATCTTCTTCAACGATATGTACTCCGACCACTACTGGTATCCCTTGGAAAATTGTGATTATTTTTTCCCTGCAAAATGGTGTATTTTTCTCAAGTTTGTGTATATAATCTTGTTATACATATTTGTAAAGTTTTGTAGTCGGATATGTTGGCGTATAGAATAAAATATTTGTGGTTTTTTGTGAGCTACTGATGCTAAATACTGTTCTATAACTCTGAAATCATTAAAGGGATATTTCACCAAGCTAAAGCAGTTTGTTTCACCTTTTGTTTGTTTGGCTGTAATCTGTTGTGACAAGCTGTTACTTCTGTAAGTCCATTTACAACAACCTGTTCAGAGTCACTGACCGACGAGGAGACGCTGTATTATGGTGTGTAATAATCACCAAAGGGAGGAAATACTGCTCACCTTGTACTGTTTAAAGGCGTCTGCAATACCTGCATGAGTCTTTATAAAATGTCTACAATCACACTCAGTTGAAGTAGTGTTGTTAGGGCTGCAACTAATGGTTATTGTAATCATAGATCAATCAAAAAAACAAAAAGTTATTCACTTTACTATCGTGATAAAGAAATGCAAGAATTTCTCACATCTGAATGGTTGGAACTGGAGAAGTTTGGGACTTTTTGCTTGAAAAATGACTTAAAATTGATTAACAAAACAGTTTCTGGGGAACAATACATTTGATTTATCAACTACAAATTTCAGCCCTGCAATAGTTATACAGTATAATCTCCATTAGTTATTTTTAATATTTAAGAATTTTTTATGTTCGTGCAAATTTACATTTAAAAGTTTTTCTTTCTGGTAAAGTCTACTGGCATCATTATAGGGTGTTTTTCTGTTCTTTTTATTTTTCGTGTATTTGCCGTTATTAGACACTAGATGGGAGTGTTTCCATGTTTTTGACCTGCCGCTCTCAGATCTAAATACGTACTTACAGCCATTTATGTTTTTTAAAGTGACATAAACAACTAACAAAGTAGAATTTTATTGTGGATATATTTTTGTAGATATTACATTTAAAAGATAAGACACTTTATTGGTCCCTACAGAAGCAAACAGGATAGAGAATATGCTGATTTTGTGAAATCTGTCAGTTCATTCACCGTACATGAAAACAAATGAGGCAAAATAAAATGAAAGAAATTGTATTTTTAGACACCATTAGTTTTAGCTAGATGTTCCTAATAAACTGATCAATAAGTGTTTGGTGTATCGTTATGTACAAAAAGTACTGAGGTTCAGCAACCAGCTGTGGCCACCAGGGGCATCACCGAGCGAGTCGCTGCTTAGCAGAACTTCAAGCGGCGAGCGAGGAAAAAACTCCGCCACCATGTTGTCTTCTACACCGTCTGTTTTGGTTCGAACCATAGACTAGATAAAAATGGACGCCGACTCCGGGTCTGGAAAATGAAGCCAATGCGGAAGTGCCTTAAACTTGAGTTCTATCGAATGACCATCAGGGGGCGACTGCACTGGTTGCAAAAAGAAGTCCGATTGTATTGAAGTTTATGAGAAAAATGATCCTACTTGTCACATGATTAGTTATCTCAGTAAACGTTTTCGTCATGTGTTTATGGTCTGAATCGCTAGTTTGAAATTTTCTTCAATACAACATGATGTTCATTTTTCAAATTATGGTCCTATATAAAAGAAAATAGACTGTTAAAGCAGAGTGTTTTTTAGGGCCTGCCTGTCAATCCGGATATGACGTCAGAGCGAGGTCTCGGACATTTAACTTGTCATTGTTTTTTCAGTTGATCAAAGTTAGCTCCAACATGTTGTTTACCTGAAAGTGTCTTGTTCTGTGTTCAGTTGTTCTCAAAGACACTAGAGGAGTCGACGGTTCATTTTTTTCCGGTAAGGACATTTTGTTTCAAGCTTATTTCTTTGCTAGCCAAAATTAGCATCCCTGTTAATATCACAGTTCAGGTGAAGATGCACCTTGCTAACCAAGCTAGCCAGCTAGTGCTAGCGTTAGCTGATAACTTAGCGATTGTTATGCTAACGGTTCCTGGCCCCGCTGGGCTGATAACCTGTGTCAACCTGGGTTAGCCCGTGGAGGTGTTCAGTCAAAGCCCAATAAAAAGGTGAATTTAATCGACGTTAATCTAACGACGTTTGGTTTGTGTTTCTCCACATGTGACCCAGTTTAAGTGATCTGCGTTAGTGTAATGCGCAGCGTTAATGTTAGTTAATACATTGTCCATCAAGATGTCGTGATAGTTCAAGTTAAGATAACGTGACGTTTACAAAATGTGTAGACAAATATTTATCATATAGAAGATTGTTCATTTAATACTCAAACCAGTCCTCAACTGAAGCAGACATTCATGCACCTATCCTGACAGCTGATCGATATTTGTGATTAACTGTGATCCACCGCATCTTAACTCAAGTGTTTGTGTTTTATTGTCATTTGAAAGGTTTCCACACTGTGAAAACTGAGTGATCTGTGCCAACAGAAGGAGGACCTCATGTACAGAGAAGCCCGTTTGTTTCCATTCATCTGGTTGTGGAGAAGGGAGACTGCATGGACATCCTTAGTTCTCTAATGTGCTGTGATGATGATGATGGTAGAAAACCTCTCCCAGTTCATCTTCCTCTGATGAAATGACAGACTAACTGCTGATGAGTTAGTTTATTATTCTCTGTCTTCAGGATTCACAGGTTCAGTTTCTTACCTGCAACTTCATTTCTGCTGTTGTTGACAGGTGATGGTAGCAACACTTTTAAGATCAGAATTTATAAATATTAAACTGTGATTAAGTGATGGATCATCTCTAGCACTGTCACCACCTCCACAGGTGAAAGTATTTACCAATTAACATCAGCATGTTTTTTGATCCTTCATTGTCAGTGTTGTCAGACAACATTTAAATATTTCTAGTATTTATGTTGTTGATTAAAGCTAACATAGAAATAGTCACACAATGCTGTACGTGTTACTATTGTGAAGATTCATACCAGATGTGTTCTATAAAAACCATCAACAAAGTTAAAGCAAGAGCTTCATAAATAACTTTATTGGACATTATAAACTACATTAATTTAAACAATTTACAACACTGGAAACATGTATAAAAGAATAATAAATGGATTAATTAAATACTGTAGTGTACAATTTACAATCAACTGTAACTATTTAAAATCAAGAAATAGTTGTGGATGAAGTTAAAGCTGAATTTCACTGTCATATGTAAGTTTGCTTAATAAAAAGTAGTTGAATCAACAGTGCAACAGAATTTTTAGTAACAAGTATAATCATTATTCATCATGAGTCCTAATGTGTGAGACAGTTAATATTTATTTGCTCCAGTAACAATCTCCCTCTAAATAAGTGATGCTGTTGGAACAGCACACTGATATTAACTATAATGGCTGAGGACTATGAAATATGAATCTAATGTTTTAAACTATTGACAGTTTGTTACAGCTACAGTGGAGTCCAAAAGTCATGTGATTGTATGTCTGACGTGGGGCAGTGAGTGTAATACGACAGTGAGGGTGTAGGGAACAAGGAGGAGCACAGCTGATCAGACTGAACAATGTTATGGCCACAAGTGTTACATAAAAAAAACACTATATTATCATATAAGACACTGTGTGTATGTTTGGGAAGAGAAGATCTTCATGTGTGGACACTGCAGGTGGAGGTGGTGCAGGGCCTCCATCATTGCTGCAAGAGGTTGTAGGTGTCCCCAAAGATCCAGACCTTGGCTGGATGGAAAAAAACATTATAATAGAGAGAAATCATATCAATATCATATTGTAGAGTACAGAGAAAAAGACAAAAGAAACAGCACTCTGATTAGATGATCACAGATATCTGAAAATACATTATTCCCTCAGCTTAGTTGTAATAAACAGTCTGCTGAACCGTTTTACATGAAATAACAACAGAATAGAAACTAATACTCAGTTTGGTGTCATTGTGCAGGTGCACATGTCATGATGGTTCTCAGCTCTCAGTGATGTTCTTTATTCTGACAGAGACAGACTACTTCAGTTATCCTCTTGGTTGTATTTTTGTTTTCTTATTTACCCTCCTGGTTACACAATAAATTAAAAAAGTAAATTTGATTTACCAATAACACCTGGTTTTATGTTGCTTCCCTTTTCCCCTAGCTGGGTCGTAACATAAAGACTGCCAACATACGGTGACCGGTGAGACAGCCCCATGACTTCATATATAGAACCCAGAAACCAACATGCCAGCTCCACCCTCTCATCCAAACATGGTTTCTTCTGGTGCCAAAAAAACAAGATGGCGACGTCCATTAAGCCAAACCCAGGCTTCACAACAGCACTTCACAAACCAATGGGTGACGTCACGACAGGTTGCCTCTTGGTTCGAACGTGGTTTGTCTGGACTCTGCAGAGGTGTCGTTTGTGATTCTTCCCACACGCCTTTACTGGGCGTGTATGGAGCTGCATTCTGCTAGAATGTCGCCGAGATGTTCGTCCTGCTTTCACGTGGGTTCGTAGTTTGATTTTATTGACATTATTTACTTGGTGGGAAACTTTATTAACAAGAACAACGGTAGTTTGTTGTAATCCATAGCTGTGGTGGTAAACTAGCATGACAGTCTGCACGAGACTTCGTTAGCTCCGTTCACCCCGCCTCCCTACCCCCGGTAGCCAAATGTCATTGGCCAGTCGGCTCCGGTCGACGCTGCCATTGGTTAAAAATTATGTTTTTTTCTCTTGAAATTTTATGAAAATTTTTGCAATGTTACAACATTTCTCTTGTAATATAACTTTTTTCATTGAGATTTAATTGAGATTCAGACAGAGACTGTGTGAATCTATCCAGTGTTTCCAGAAATGGCAGTCATCTTGGAAAATACGGCCTTTTGAGTTTTCAAGTGGCTGATGGGATTTTTCACATTAATGGCCTCAAAGGGATAAACATGCCAATTTTGATTCTTGTATCCACATTAGAAAGCTTATTAGAGAAATCAAGTGAAAGTTGAGCTCTGTGTGTATGAGGAAGTGGAGCTGGGAGGATATGTGGGTCAGCTGACTGTGCTGTCTGTATGTTGTGTGTGTTTGTGTGCCTCCGGTGATGTCGGTTCAAACTCCAGTAAGCAGCTTGTTGTGCGTACGTGAGAACAGCTTCATCGTCTGAGTTAACCAGTAACCAGACCTCTGTTTCCTTTCTGATCGGATGCCAGAGAGGGAAGGAGAGAGGGACTCCTCGGCAGTGTGTGTGTACGTGTGTGTGTGTGTGTACGTGTTGTAATTTGAGGAATAAGTCCCGAGGTTTACTTTAGAGCTCAACTGATGTGGTTTTGAAGACTGGGAGTAAAACAGAACGGTTTGATGGAAGTTGCTGATGACTCTTAATCAGCAGATTTCAATTCATGATAGTTTTCATGCCCATAAAATGACCAGCAATTCAATCAACAAAAGCTTCTGAAGCTGCATTTAGAGCATTCTGGGACATTTTTTGTTTGTTCAATGTGGTTTATTCAAGTTCATGCATTAAGGGAATAGACTAGATGCCAGGGACACATGACAATCAGCTGCTAAGACATAAATATCTCGTTGTGATGATGTGCATCTCGTAATGAGTTATTAGTATTTATTACTGGTAAAAGGAGTCTTATAGTAACTTATTAATAAATGGTGATGTATTTCACACTTTACATTTAATGAGTAGCAAGCGTTAACCTGATCTTGCCAAATAATGAGTCTGCATCAATGTATGAAAGCTGTTATAACTTGTTTATAATGGTTTATTGTTTTGTTAACAAGCTAATTAATAGTTATTTATAAATGGTTTATTAGTTATAAAGCATTTATAAATCTCTTATAAAGGTAGTCTTATTGTGAAGTGGTACAAAAACTTACTTTTATAATTAGCCGATAATTGAAACTGTTGCCTAGTAATTTCCTCTTGTGTAATTCCATCAGTTATGCTTTGAAATCAGAGGTTACCATGGTAACAGAACAGGCGTCCATCCAAACTCATGCAACAGAAATGAGCTGAACTTACCGAAATAACTTCCCCCTTCTTTGACCTTTCACTGTCTGTGTCGCTGCTGTTTCAGAGAGAGAGGAAATCCACTGAAACCGGTCGACAGCGGACACTGATTGATCAGGGGGCGTGAGCGGGTGTCACCATGCTGATTAACAGGCAGAGCTGGCACAGCTTCATTCACACCATCACTGTTTCATCTGGCAGCAGGAAGCTGGCTGCGGTGTGGAGCCTCACGTATGCACACATTCCTCAGAAATGGAGCTCCGGGGAGAGAGCGGCGGCGGCAGGGCACGATGTGACACGTCTGCACCAGCTGCACCAGCAAAATTACTGATAGACACTTTCCTTATTAAGTATTTGGTTATCAGATACAGGGTGGTTTCTTTTCCAGATGTCCTTGAATGCACCCTGCAGGTTCAGGGAGTGTCTGCTGCAGACAGCCACTGAGACAAGGGAGTGATAATGATACTGATAAACACTGATAATAATATTGATACATAATATTTACAATAACAAGCAAACACACACTAGTAGAAGCATTCATTACAGATTATATTTAATATATATTTTTATATTTAGATTATATTAATTATAAGAAAATAAGTTTGGACATCGAACATTGAAGTTCCTGTTGAAATAGAAACTTTTCAAAAACTCCAACATTTCTGCATAAATCTGTCAGAGGAAAAAGTGACAGTAACATTAGCTGCTAATTCTGTCATCACAAATGCAGTATTGATTTAAAACGAAACTGATAGTTACGTTACCTTCCAGTGTTTCCTGTTAAACAGTTAGTAGTAAGGTCAAATTAAAAAATGACACTTTAATTATTTTAAAATGAAGAACATGAAGAAATGTCAGTAACATTAGCTGCTAACTTTAGTCACTACAAAACTAATGTTAAGATAAAATAAAACATGTCAGTGTCACTTCACAATAAGACTTTTATAGAGGATTTTGTAACTAGTTTATTAATTACCTTGTTTACACTTTATAATCATCTATAAGCTGTTATAACACATTAGATTAAAAGGGTATCAGTGACCTGTTGCTTGCCAAATAGTGAACCCACATTTCTCTACTGTTCAGCCTCATCTCTGTTTCCTCCATCATCAGCATCTGTAGCTGCTGCTTCGTCACACGTTTGTTCAGCTACTAACAATTAATCACCGTCAGCATCTTAATGAGATCGGAAAGTTTCATTTAGCAGATCAAATTATGGCAAAAATGATCACATCAATGACTATACTCCATTGATCTGTGGCCTGTTGTTCAGTCAGCTGATTCTCCCTCCATCATCGTCATGTTGCTTCATCTCATTTCTACAAACATTTATAAACAAATAATATATTAATGCGTTACTATAAAGCTCCTGTTACCAGTAATAAATGTCAGTAACTCGTTAGTAAGATGATCTTGCCAAATAGTGAACCTGCATCAGTGTATGAAATCTGTTATAACTTGTTTATAATTGTTTGTTTATTATTATTATCATCATTATCCTGTGTGGTCTATCTGCTCATATCAGCTGCTTTCAGTCTTTTCCCGGCACGTGGTCAACTTCACGTTGAATGTTTACTTCCGCGCGGGTAGGAGGGAGGGGAGGGAGGGCAGGAGGGAGGGAGCGCGAGGGCTACATGCGGCTCGTGGAGTCCTCAATGGCGGCGGGCACGCCCAGTGCGCGGGCACGTCGCAGAGAGCCAGTCACTTAGTCGTAATTAACTTCACCTTTATCAATAAATAAATACAAAGCAAAGTGAAGCATTTAAGTGAATCTGCTGCTGATTAAAGAATAAAAGATTCAAGTTTTTACTGGACACAAACTTTACATGTTTGACATGATCATAACCAATAGGTCACGTGATATAATAATAATGGTATTAACACAGAAAGTGGGTTAGAGTCAAGTCCAGGAATCCCCCCCCCCCCCCCACAGTGTACATCACATCCAGCACGTCTCACACTTCGCTCTCTCATCGCACACTTTCTCTCCTCCACCGTGAAGCAGCCGCGATGTGACCGGAAGTCTGTGGAAGGGCTTTCAAATTAAAAGCACGGCGAGTCAACTAAGAGGGAGACCTGCTCATGATGGCTGGAAGAACAAAAGAGGTGAGTGGTTTTATGGGTGTCTCCTAAAAAAGCAACTGTGAAATGTTCATAATATCATTTTTTATATATCTTGGTTCTGCAGAGCTGAACATGACATCTTCAACTAAAAGCACAAACCCTGAATGTATTCAGCTTACGGTGATTTAGAACAGATAAGAACAGTGGATCCAAAAATTTGAGAACCAAAAATGATTTTTTTTGTTTGTTTGACAGATTAATCACTTTAATCATGTATCAATCTAAATGACTGTTGATTAATTTAGTTAACTAATTACCAATAAATAATTCCTGCACTAAATTGCATACTTCTGAAAGCATATTATGCCAGCAGTTTTGAAAGTTCCGACTTCCACCCATAATGAAACGGTGTCATTCATATATTTATTATTTGGTTTTATTATTTAGCATATTGGTTTTTCATTTTTACATACAAATTTCCTGTCACGGTTCATTTTGACTTTTTCCACAGCCATAAGGAACATACATGTAAGCATATCAAACAAAACAGCAGACAAATAAACAAGTGGTATAAAATAGTTATTGTTTCACTTTATTAGATAATGGATAGGGATTATTCTCATTGGTCCTCTCATTGGACTATTCTCATTGGTCCTTAGAAAAAATAGGAGACCCAGGTGAGATGTAGAAGAAGGTGTTTTCCAGGTGCTAAAATCCCCATTAAACATAAGATAAAATGACAAAGGATTTACAAAGGAAACATTTCCAATACAAGCGGAACTGACTCTTATTTTGAAACGTGTAACCGGAAGTGTTGCGGGTGCACACCCGCTAACGTGACGCTGCTGCAGCCTCAATAAGAGCTCGGTGAAAACATGAAGTTGGACACTGGATCGTTCAGTAACGACCTGATTTAACTTGTTGACTTTCAGCGGGACGGAGTTGAACCGTCAGTCGGAGCTTCACTTCACTTCCGCTCAGCCTCCTGTCACACCTCAACTCCCGCCATCAGACTGAATCACTCCAACATTGCCACAGCCGTTGAGATGCCTTTTATCGAGCACGTATCGGACGCGGACCTGGAGCGTTTGGCTCTGGAGCGGGTCGTCCCGGCCCTGCTGTCTCACGGCTTCTGCTATGTGGACGGTCTCCTCGGGGAGCTGGCCGGGGACGCGGTGCTGGAGCAGGTGAAGGAGATGCACCGGTCCGGGGCGCTGCAAGACGGCCGGCTGGCCGGCTCCGTGCGCGGCACCCACCGCAAGAGCATCCGCGGGGACAAGATCGCCTGGGTGAGCGGGTCGGAGCGCGGCTGCGAGGCGATCAGCTTCCTGCTCAACCTCATCGATAAGCTCATCTCCGTGTGCGTGAGCCGGCTCGGCGGCAAGGCGATCCGGGAGAGGTCGAAGGTAAGAGGGGCGATTTGGGTCAAGTTCAAGTCTGGACATCAGGATGTAGTGTCAAAGAGCAGCAGGAAGAGTAAAGAACCAGAGACAAAGTTTAATGTTTATTCATCTTATACCTTGTTCTTTTTACTCCATCACCCTCACTCTCCATCAACCACTGTTTTTATCACTATGGTGATTTTTCATTTGATTTTTTTCTGAATGAATTCTTCAAAAGAAAAGTCTCCAACCTTTTTAAGATAAAAAACTTAATTAAACCCCTCATTAATACATCCCCACAAAGCTGAAAACACGGTTATTGTTTTGTCTCTTAATAAGTTGAAACGTGGTCATTTCATACACAAATATAATATATGGACATATATTGAATTTCCATGTACATATGAAATAAAAGCACATGTAAAAAATGTTAGTTAGAAATTGTAATAATTTCATATATTGACATACATGTCAAGTCCATTCAAATATGTATGTTTATATTGTAGACATATGTTACATAGATATATGTCCATCCCACAGCCTGTCAGTATGTTATATTATATAAGGTAGAGTCCAAAAATCTGAGACACTTTCCCAGAATGTGAAGATAAATATGTTTAAAATGAATGAGAAATTAACAAGGAAAATATATAAAAACATGTAAAATTTTATATTGTTTCATTAAACGTCCATGTATAAATTAAATATATATAATTAATATATGTGATTGCCACATCTTATACCATATAAAAAAATCATCACACAGATATTTTTAATATGAATACATATACAAGTTTTACTATGGGTATGTTATATATGTTATAAACCTATATATTCAGGGTGTACATATATGATAATGATATTGGGACATACATGTCGTATATTACATTTCTGGGAGGACAGGACTGATAAACATGATGAACTTACAGAATATGATGCGTTGCTTTAGTTTATACAACACTCTGGTAAAGTGGTTAAAATCATCACTGAGCTGCAACATGTACATCACTGCACCAGTTTAATAATCCATAAAAATAATATGTGATAGGAAAACATTTTCTGCACCAGTACTTTTAATTATTTAATTACATTTTGCTTAATTATAATGATGTATTTTCCCAGTGAGAATACTTGATCCACCTCTGATTAAATAGAATATATTAACAAACAGAAATCCTAAAGCAAAGGAAAATAAGTTATTAAAGTACACATCACATGAAGCGCTGCAACTTTACAGCTTCACACAAGCTGTGTAAAATAGAATCTGTATATTGCATGTGTGCATCGGCATTAATTCATATTATTTGCAAGAAAGAAAACATAAACAGCATTTTTCTTCAAACAAAATGTTCCTTCACCAAACGTCTCTAAATACAGAGTTTCCTTAAAGGCGCTGCTCGGCTCCACAGGTGTGTCACTCTGGCTGATTAGACTGAATCTGCTCAGGTTGAATTTTGGCAGAGTCATGGCGGGAGTTCACTCCATCATCTCCAGACCCACAGAGACGCCAAACAGTCTGTTCACAGCTCTGAGACGAGCTGCAGTCCGCTGAAGTGATTAGATCACTTGTGTGGGAGGACCAGAGGTGCGCTGGCCCTTTAATGAATTCATTATGTGAGCAGAAAAATAGGAACACATGTTTAAGGTGTTAATCAATCCCTCCAGAAAGTCGCGATGGCAATAATTAACACAAATCCAACCAATCCCTGTGAATTCTGCACGACCTTCCATTTCTGTCCAATCACTGCAACTTTTGCAATTTTTATTTGCTGCGGCCATTTCATTGCAAAAAAGGTTTCTTCGGTTTCTTCAGATGTGTGTGAGTGAAAAACCTGCTTCATGTCGTCTTCACTGTCAACAGTTCGAAGGTGATCAGTGACCAGAAGCATTAATGCCGATCTACCCATCACGTATTTTTAATGAAAATCAGTCGATCATGATCGGTGGCCGATCAATCGGGGCCACATCCATAGTTTGACCAATTTATAGGAACTTTGGTTTTTGCAGTTTTGCAAAAAAAAAAAGTTTTTGAGGTCGTCTGCTGGACTGGACTCCAGTTGCTCATGTAGGTGACACCAGATTAGAGGACTTCCTGTTTTGTTAACGGTTGAGGATCCGTAGTGTCACGGTGCTCTCCAGCGGCCGGCGCACCACACTTCATCTGGGACAAGATCCAAACGCCCTGTGTTGGAAAGGAGAGACTGTTGTTCCTCCTCACGCCTCGTCGGTCTCATGTGGAAACACAGTGAAATGACCTTCCTGTTCTCTGCGACGTTCAGGCCCTTCAGCGGCAGTCCAGGGACCCGGTCTGGGCCCTGAGCCAAGGCTTCAGAAACCAGAACACACTCCAGGAAAGACAGGAAACTCAGCGGACCTGGTCTGGTCGTCTCGGTGTTTTCTGTGGTGATTAATCACCGGACAGACGTGATGAGGGCGTGCAGTCTGGGGATGGATACCTGGGTCCAGGTGCTTACTGAGACTATTTACCGCTAAAATCTGCTTCCTCTTCCTGGGAAAAATACATGAGGGAGGTTTTTAGAATATGAACACGTGTCTGCAGACAGAAGAATATTGTATTTCTGTAGGTTGCTCTTACAAACGTTTATTAGATGTTTATATCCGTCTTCTAAAAGGTAAACAGGAGGTTAAGTGAAGTGTTACCAAAATGAATGTATGCACTTTACAGCTTTTATTTTGGAGTGCAGACCTTCGTGTTCAGATCGTAGAGCAGAGTAGCCTCATACACAAATATAATATATGTACATATATTGAATTTCCATATACAATATGGAAAATATATAAAGTATAAAGTAAAAATATACAATAAAAAGTATATGTAAAATAAAAGCACATATAAAAATGATATAACAATTTCATATATTGACATATACTGTATACAAATACGTATGTTTATGTATATATGCTTATATTGTAGATATATATCCACCCAAAGCCTGTTAATATATATTGATATATAAACAGTGGGGTCCAAAAGTTTGAGACGTGTTTAAAATGAATGAGAAATTCATTTTGTTAAAAGTAAGAAAAAACTATTTTTGCATATATAATGTTTTGTGTCTCGATATCAAGAGCGATGATTATATATATTATTATCACGTGTATAAATCCTCTGGATTTATGAACAATAAGTTAATAACATACATGAAATACTAAAAATAGCTATATGATGAATTTCTATATGGTATAACATGTTAACATTTATTTCTGTGTCATTTCCTGTTTTGGTCCTGAAGAGAAACTTTACATCTGCATCTTCGTTTGCCTTTTTATACGTGTTGGTTTGTCTCCACTGGATTTTTACTTCCTGTCTAAATTGACGTTTGTTGTTATTTTTGAGCTCACGTTACGGTGATGTAAGAGGCCGCAGGTCCAGCTGCTCAATCAGACTCTAATTGTTTCATTTCCAAAAGTTAAATATCATTTAGTTTTTGTCTCGTTTTATCGAGGAAAACTTGTTGCCGTAGTTTTTGTAAGACTGAGATGATATGGTGAAAGACAGAGGAGGAAAAACAAACTGTGTTTGTCACACACACACACACACACACACACACACACACACACACACACACACCTGTTCATGAGAGCTCATAGAGGCATGCAGACATTCTCACGTACACACTCTCCCACTTATTCAATTATTCACTCTCTCACTCCTCCACGCTCAGTCATGCTCTCTCGCCCGCTCAACCACACACACACACTCACTGATTTACAGTATCCTGACTTCCCTTACACACACAGACACACACACACACACACAGACAGACACACACACACACACACAGACACACACAGACAAACACAGACACACACACACACCATCATCATCAACATCATCATCATACAACCTGAAAGTATGTGGTGAGACAGGAGTGCTGGGAACATATTACACACATATTCCCAGCATGTCCACATGCAGCAGTCTACAGTGAGCCCTTATCACACGTGTCTGTGTGTTATCAGATGGGACTTCTTAAAAAAACAGCTTAGCCCAGTTACAATAGGAACACACACACACACACACACACACACAGGTATCTGCAGACGGTGCAGGAGAATAAACATAACAACGATGCAGGATAAGAAGTTATTGTCTGGAGAACAGTACAATCTTTTAATAACGGCTGGTTTTAAGGCTCAGTTTCTGAATACAGGCTGTGTGCATTTCTCTGTGGACTGAGGCTTTGATACTTTCACAGTATTAATATAGAAGCTAGAGCTGATCTATAATCACACTACACATGGACACAGACCTTTACACTGGAGGAGCTTTCACACTAAAACAACTTTAAAGGAAAGAACATGTTCATATTTAGGTTTAGGTATCGTTAAGATTTTACCCTATCTCCCAGCTAATCCAAAAATGATCAAAGAGTGTGTGGAGCTGAGACTCACCCACCTGTCACTCAAAGAGGCCACGCCCTCAATCCTCCATAACTTTAGTCCTTAATAAAATGTAAACAGGTGAGTTATATAAACAGGTGAGTTATATAAACAGGTGTCATGAAGGAGGAAATCAGCTCTAGAGACCAAAACAGTTTCTGTACCAGGCTGTGAACATGTTGATTTCTGCTGTAAAGACATTTTAACATGGGAGTCTATGGGGACTGACTCTGTTGATCGAGCGAGTCTTCTTCACCCAGACGAACTTCAGACACAGTGACGGTCGAGTTAAAGAGAGGGATGGAAGGGTTGTATGAAGAGTTGTAATGTTTGTTTTTTAACTCTGATGTTGGACAAAGAAAAACATAAAATCCTCACATTTGAGAAGCGCCCAATGGTAAAGTTAATTAATTGATTAATGAATCTTTGTGGCTAAAGATCGGATTTTGGAGATTGTTTTATTCCAACAGTTTTAAGATAAAACTCTTTAATAAGTCACAAGAAAAAAAGCAAAAACCAGAGAAAGAAATGTAATTCTGTGTCGCAGAAATGTTTTTTAATCTTCTTTCCTCTGCTGTGAATCACTGCGTGACCTTTCAGATTTATCTTGTGACCCATTGGGGGTCCCGACCCCTCAGGTTGAGAACCACAGTGTTGAGGTGGAGGAGTCCTGGTGGTTGCAGTGGGTCCAGACTGCAGCCTCACGCTCCTCACGTAGCTCTGTCATTAAACTGTCAGCTGGCTGGAAACCTGCCAAACCCCTGCACAGACCTCATCGCACTCCCACAATCCCTCTCTCCCCCCCCCCTCCCTCCCCCCTCTTCTCCTCACCCCCCCACCCCCTCCCTCCCTCCCTCCCTCCTCCCCCCTCTCTCTCCCCCCCCTCCCTCCCTCCCTCCCTCCTTCTCTCTAATAGAAAGATAAGATAAAGTTTAAACTCCAAACGGCTCTCGGAGGCGTTTTGTTTTCCAGAGTATCATTTCCTCTGCGCCCAGCCCTCCTGTCTCACCACATACTTTCACGGTGTGTGATGATGATGACGCTGATGGTGTGTGTGTGTGTGTGTGTGTGTGTGTGTGTGTGTGTGTGTGTGTGTGTGTGTGTGTGTGTGTGTGTGTGTACGTGCCTCAGTGGTGGCGTGAGTTCCCTGCTTCCCCTGCTCTGGAGTCGCCCTCACGCACGCTGGGGGCTCGACTCCCCCACCCTACCCGCCAACCAATCCCCTTTTCACATTAAGAGCATCCAAAAGGGAGGGGAAGTAAACACAGACGTCAGGTGGTGCACGCTGACGTCAGTGAGGTGGGGGTGGGCGGGTTGTTGTTGTTGCTGTTGTTGTCTACGCCGTGACCTTCCTGTAAGTGGTGTGTTTGTTGATGATGGTACAGAAGAGGAAGTGAACAGGATGTGAGATTTTACGGAGCGTGCAGAGGCGTGGAGCTCCGTGCACGTTTTCATTTCACAATAAAAGAAGGGGGGGTTGTTGGTGATGATGTGGCTGCAGGTGATGCTGCTGAAGTCAGCACGGACAGACCATCTGTGTAAACACGTACGTCACAATAAATGCATGAGTGGAGAGGGCTGCGTGCGATCTGTGTGTCAGCGTCGGGGTCAGGTGGCGGCACTGACGTCCCATGATGCAATTTGGTGTAAATCAGTGTCGTTGCCTCTTTAACGAGGCGCAATCTTCCGTCAGTGATGAAAGTTGTCACATGAATGTGGAGTAAACGGTTTCTGAGAAATCCTTATGTCATTAAATATAACAGTCAGTGCTCGCACAGTTTGTCATTAAAAACAAATGCTTTTATAAAAACTTAATTATTAAAGACTTTCTTAACAATCTTTTTACATTTTTTGACAAAAGAAAACATGGCGTCTTTTGCATTTAGGAAAATTCAAACACTGATCATCATCTTTGTTGCCCTTTTCAAAGTAAAAGCGTTCTTTAAAGTTCCTCCAGACATGTTTTAAACTCTGTGATTCATGTTTAGTTTAAAATGGTTCAAAACTGGGTCTGAAGCTCGTCTCCTCTCACTTCCTGATTGATAAACCTGGATCAGGCTTTGAGCCCCGCCCACCACCTGCTGGCTCCAGGTGGACAGGTGAGAGAGCATCATGATGGTGAGAGGAGGAAACATCAGAGAGACTCAGCCACATGTTTGAGCCTCAGTCAGACCCAGACTCAGAGGAGGAGTCTGAGACCAGAACCAGAGACTAGCAGACGGATCAGAACCGTTAGCGTCCCCACAGGTTGACAGGATTGGTTCTTTAGGTTTGTGACGTATGAAACCCTGAATCTGTGTTTATGAGACTGTGATTGGTTCACTGCAGGTCCAGGTGGAAACTCAGTCATGGAGTTGATGATTATTTCATCATCATGTGTCTGTGTTATATAAAAACATCATGTGGACGTTAACGAGGTGAAACACTTGGTTTTCATTTTGATATCTTTTATCATGGATATTAATCTTTCAATAGTTAAACAAAACCTGATTTTCCTCTGGAGTGTCGTCGTCTTCATCCATTTATCTTCAATAATTATTTTCTTCTCGTATTTTTCAGTCCTAATCTTTATAAATTATGGTTTGAATTTGGCTGCAGAGTTTTTATCATCAGTGAACTCCTGAACTCTGTCATGTCCACGTTTATTTAGTGGATTTAAAGCCTGATGAAGCTCCGTCACATCTTCACACCGGAGCCATGAAAACTCTCATATGAAGCCATAGCAGTGAAATGACCAGCGGTGACCTCACAGGGGGGGTTGTGTGTGTGTGTGTGTGTGTGTGTGTGTGTGTATGTGTGTGGATCAGCTGGTGGCGGCGGCCGATCTTTGTTTTTCCTGGAAGGAAACTCTCAGTTTGAGCCTTTGTTGACTTTGACACAATCTCATGTCTGATAATCGTCTGCTGCTCTCGGCTTATCAGACGCTTCCTGTTTGGGTCGCAAGGTCACGGTGCTGCAGGGAGGGGACGCAGGGAAACCCCCCCCACCCACCCCCCACCACCACCACCTGTTTCCATTTGACAAAGAGAAATGAATCCTCTGTAGCATGTTTATTATGAGGTATTTGCTGCCTGTCTTTTTCTCAGAAACAAACCACATTCAGACGTACAGAGACTCTTTGGTTTTTTTGTTTGTTTGTTTAATTAAAAAAGAGCCACAAGTCTGTTGGTTTTTATTTTTTATTTCAAACATTTAGTAAAATAAATGGAAAAAATGTGTTTATCAACTTACAACAGTCCAGTGATGAAACGTCAGGGTGCACACTGATCTCGCAGATGCAGCTGTGAGAGTTCTGGTTGTTTCCGCGGCGCAGTACAGCGCGCTGCTGCGTAGGAATTCAACGGTTGACAAATTGTAGTTCCAAAGGAAAGATGAAAGATAAAGTGAAAATATTCAAATAAAACGTTTCTAAAGTTGCTAAAACATGTTTTTGTGGATGGACGACTTGAGTAGAATTTAATAAATTAAGTTAATTTAATTAATTTAGTACATTACACACATTTAAACACATTTAAATTTAAACAATATAAATCATATAAATGTAAATGTTTTTTTATTTGTGATTTTCTTTTCTGTATACAATAACAAAAAAGCTTTTAAAAAAAGCTTTCAGTGTCATCTCATGGTCTTCTTCACTTCATAAAATAAACATCATCCACTGAGGAAGACCCTGAGATGCTGTAGAAAGCTCCTGAAAAAGCTAACCCAGGTAGCAAAATGAAACTTCCAGTTCAGCTGGAAGAGTTTCTGTGTGTGCGCCAGAATTGGTCCAGATGTGGAAGCAGCGTCTGGTGATCGTGCCGTATGTGGGCCAGATTTGAGCCGGAAGCTGAGTTTAGATTTTGTCAAATTCTGATCTTGACTTTTATTTGAAATATATGTTCAAATCTGTGACGTAAACAAACCTTTAAACAGCATCTGAAGGCACTAAAAACTTTAGTTGTTGTTCGCGCGCGTAAAAGAAGAGCTGTCAATCATCCTGAGTCACAACAGGTGGTGGGCGGGGCTACAGTCTGATTGACACCATGAGTCTTAAAGCAGATTTCTGAGTCTTCACAGAGGCGTTCAGGCTGCGACTGCTCTCATCGCTGCTGCGACTACAAATGTGGCCGATCCAGTTTCCTCCAAACACTGACCAGCTGCACGTACACACACACACACACACACACACACACACACACACACACACACACAGAGGCATGCAGCAAACATGAACATGCATGCATGCAATTTGTGTACGTGCAACTGAAGCTGTAGGCACCTAACCACAACACACACCCATGATCTTCCTCAAGAAATATTAACAAATAACCACCCACACACACACACACACACACACACACACACACACACACACACACACACACACAGGAAGTTTATGTAATGTCAAAATTACTTCAACATCATCTTCAGCAGTTTGATACGACAGTTCGTCCAAACTTTTACAAAACTCCATCTCTTCTTCTACTACTTTTTTTCCTCTTAATTTTCCCGCCTCTTCAGTTGTCTCCGTCCCTGTCGATGATGACTTCATTTCTTTTTTGTTGTTCGTCTACAGCACGACTTCTAAATCTTCCAAGAAATACTAGAGGGGCGGACTCAGGGGACATTTTTAAATGACGACTGTAAACACACCTGTTCAACTTAGCTTTTAATTAGCTCTGAGAGTTTTTCTGTTTTTTATTTATTTGAAATGTTTTAGTCTTAAATGATTTCCCTGTTTTAACTCTTTTATATTTGTCAGAGCACTCTGAGCTGCATCCTGTGTATGAAAAGGGCTATTTAAATATAGTTTATTATTATTATCATTATTATTATTGTTATTGTTGTTGTTGTTGTTGTTGTTGTTGTTGTTGTTGTTGTTGTTGTTGTTGTTGTTGTTGTGTGGTGTGGTGTTTCAGTTCTGCAGCGCCTCACTGAAACTCTGTAGTGTAACTGAGGTCTCATGACTTGTCTCTTGTCTGTGTGTTCAGGCCATGGTGGCGTGTTACCCGGGAAACGGCGCCGGTTACGTCAAACACGTGGACAACCCCAACTCTGACGGACGCTGCATCACCTGCATCTACTACCTGAACAAGAACTGGAACGCCACGGTGCGTTTAGGGACCCGACTCTGATATTCACATCGTGTCTGTCTGAGGTCGACGTGACCTCTGACCTACAGTTACTCGTTTGTTATTCAGGTTCAGGAATTGAAAGATGCGATTACAGTTCAGATTTTGAAACTTCCTGTCTGACGGGAAAAAGGAAAAAGTTTATGACTTTGATCCGTTTGTAAAACACATGATGATGATATTGATATAAACAGTTTGATGATGTCAGACTGACAGAAATCCCACACACACTCTCTTAAAAGCTGAACTTTGAAGTTAATAAGATCCATGAAGTCATGATGCAGAAGGAACGACAGTAAAAAATAAAATAAAAGATTTGGTGTTTTGTGTTTAATCTTAAATTTGACAATAATCTCCAGATGTCACATCAAGAACATCTGGCTTTGTAAAGTAGTCCCCTCTGATGTGACAATCAGCTGACCTGTGTTGTTGTTGTTGTTGTTGTTGTTGTTGTGTATCAGGAGCACGGTGGCGTCCTCAGGATCTTTCCTGAAGGGAAATCCTACGTGGCCGACATCAAACCGCTTTTTGACCGGCTGCTCTTCTTCTGGTCCGACCGCCGGAACCCACACGAGGTGCAGCCCTCCTACTCCACCAGGTAACCAATCAGTCAACCGACCAACCAATCAATCAATCAGCCCATTAATCAGTCAGTTGCTAATCCTGACCACTGACAGGAGGTTTGTGTGGTTCAGTAACACGCTGAGACGACGACAGTGTCTTTATTTTTGGGTTTAACATGTTAAACATCCTCCATCTCATTTTCATATCTTCAATCGGGGATTATTGATTCATTGATTGATGATCTTTTGTGAACTGATCTGAATACAAGACAGCTTCTTTTTAACGATACTTCACTTTTGAATTGAAGTAACAGAAACAAAATCATAGTGTCAAAAGTCCTGAAAGCTCAAGTATAAAGAATTAAAGCACAGAAACACAGGAGACAGAAAACCTCCATCTACAGGAAACTGGCTCCACCTGCTGGTGTGAGTGTGTAATAACATCCACATGTCATTTTCAGAACAGCTGCATTTTATTATGATTTTATTACGATGGAGCGCTTCAAATCAAATATGGCCGACTTAGAAACCCCCCCCAGTCTTGTTCTGTCACTGCAGAAAGTCATGACGGTCGCTGACACTGATGTGATCAAATACATAAAGAGACATGGCGTTTTCATGTGTTATCAGAGTGAAAAGATGATTTCGTCCAAACTTGAACAACAACACAGGATCGAGGCCGGAGAGTGTATCTGTGGCCAGTTTAAAAAAACATCCAGTGCAGGAAACAGTAAAAAGCCTAAAGAGATCTGACCCCTGCACAGAAACACTGAAACCAGAGGAGGAAGTAAAACAGACGTAAACACACACACAGGAAACTGACTTTGAAATTAAAACCCAGAGCTTCAGTAAACATCAGTGTTGTGGTTTGTGTTCCAGGTACGCCATCACAGTCTGGTATTTTGATTCTGAGGAGAGAGCCGAGGCCAAGAGGCGCTTCAGAGACTTGACAGGTACAAACACACACACACACACAGACACACACACACACACACACACACACACACACACACACACACACACACACACACACACACACAGACAGGAGAATCCAGGAGATCCATCCGTCCATTTTCTTCCGTGTAGCGGAGGTCGGTCGTGGTGGCTGCAGGTCAAAGTATTCCTCCGTGTCCCTTCATGTTCATGTGTCTGGTGTGTTTCAGCGTCCACTGGGCAGCAGGGCAGCAGCTCCGGCTGATTGTGAGGAAACGTCGCCACCTGGTGTTCGTCACCTTGAACTGCAGGACAGGACGACAGGATTCAGGCTCTCGCACCTTCTGGAAAACAAAAAAAAAGAAAAGTATGTTCACTCTGTCCTGGACTCTGGAGGAGTCGAGAGGGTTTTTAATTCTTCAGCAGATGAATTTGAATCCCCTCCTCGCTCCGACCGGCGTCCAGGCTGGAGAGAATGACCTGCCTGCGCCACGCTGAGCGCTGCTGAAACCTGATGAACGATGAGTTCAGGTGACTGGCAGCTGCTCGGGACTTTTCCTGCTTTTGTGCAATACTCTGTCTCTGCTGATTCCTGCTGGAGGGAAACAGTGCACTGCACCTTTAAGCTTCGCCTTCAACTCGCTTCAAAGAAGACGGAGGAGGAGAGACGGCGAGCGTTCATCAACCTTAACAGACAGAAGAAACTAGAGACATGATGCCTTCAGAGCTGTGGGACAGAAACGTTTCATGCTGCAGCATGTTCTTAATAATTCTGTAGAATGAGATGCGGAGCGTCATGTGTTCAGTGATGGAGGAACAGCAGAGAACTGTTTACCAGTAAATGAAATGAACTATATTATTAATACATGAGTGGAAAACGCTAACACAGGCCAGTGGTGATGAAATGATACAGAGAGAGGTGGAGTCAGTTCAAGAGCATCATAAACCAACAACACAACATGAGCATTCAGTCAGCAGCTCTGGGTATCGAACCTTCGGAGGATGTATTTTAGTGACAAGTGAAAGGAACCGTGTTAGTTCTAAATACTAATCAGTGACCACATTTACTCCAGCGCTGTCCGTTTTCAGGAACTTGTTCTGCACCTACTCCACTTCATTTATCTGACAACTGATACAACTCAAGCGACTGGACTGAGGGTCGGATGGAGCAGAACTGAAGGTGTTTAGGTCCCAGACGGTTTTGATTCAGGTCGATTAACAAGCCAACTGGACAGTGTGAGGTTTAAAGGTCTAAAGTTCAACAAGATATTCTCCCTTATCTCCACGTGACACAGATTCAACATTTATAAAGTGTCCAGAGTGTCAGGCTGTAAATGTTAACTGCACTTTTGGCTGGAAGGTCCAGCTGTGGACTGTCGTCACTTTCTATATGAACTATAGTGTATTTGTATTTGTGCAACTATCACAGAAGCAGGAGACGTTTAAACATGAAGCAGAAAAGCAGAATGTGAAACCAAGTCAAGACAATATTTTATTATGTTGATGAGAAACAGGAATCAATGTACATTCAGCATTTATCATGAACTGACATGTTTACACTGAAATCAGCTGTTTTTCTTTTGTTAAATGCAGTTATTGATTATTGGATCTCCATCAGTTTGCTGGTCGTCATGGCTACACACAAAGTCACAATAATAAACTCAATGATGTAAAATGACTCAGTATCAATAAAAACAAAGCAAATATAAAGAAAAGGAGTGAAATCATTTTTCACACATGAAAAGGTCGACGACAGAAAGAAGAAGCAAATAGTGAAACTACAGAAGAAGAAAAAGGAAATAAAAATAAAGGAAGCTTTGGAATAATGAGACAGCAGGAGGACAGGTGCAGTTTGAGAGGTTAAATTCACTGACTTTTCCCTTTAAGAAATAAACAACATTATAAATATAATCATCCTCTTTATCTCTAACTGCTCTGTCCCACTGTCACAGAGACCTTCAGTGGTAACACCTTCACTTCATCCTCAGTGTAAATGAATGGAAACACCTTGTGAGTGAAAGTGTGTGTGAAGGTGTGTATGTGTGTGTCAGTATCAGGATCAGAGAACGACAGTTTTCCTCTGTTCCAGTCCAGATTCACTCTGATCCTCTGGAGCTTCTTCTTCTTCACTGAGAGATCAATGACTGGAGCTGATGGTGACTCTGCTGAGAATTTACCTTCATCAAACCATATTACCCATAATCCAGACCATATGTCTCTCTTCCTCTGGACAGACTCTTCTAACACTCCCAGTCTCCAGAATGTATTGTCTCCAACCTCGACGTCCCAGCTGTGAGTCCCTGAGTTAAAACCCTCAGAGCCCAGGACAGACCAGGAGTAAGAACTAATCCTCTCTGGATTGTCAGGAAGCTTCTGTCTCTCTCCTCGTCTCACTCTGGTCAGATCTTCAGACAGGATGAGTTCTGGACCAGCAGTGTTTGGGTCCAGAACCACAGGACTGTAGGAGACCACGTCCTTCATCTTGTTCCAGATGTTGAAGGTCAGGTTGCCCAGGTGTTTGGCCTGGTCTATCAGAGCTCCTGAGCCCAGCTGGTGATCCTCCAGCAGGGGGCGCTGCTGGACTCTGTCCACTGCAGCCTTGTAGCTGAGCAGGAATGAGACGTCTTCAGCTCTCAGCTCGTCCTCTGTGGCTCTGACTGTGTCTGAAAGAGCTGCTATCTCTCTGCTCAGAGCCTCCATCTTCTCCTTCATCACCTGACTCTTCTGCTCCTCTTCCTCCCTCAGTGCAGCCATCCTGGCCTCCTCTTCCTCTTCTAGAAACTGGTGAAGCTTCTTAAACTGCTCCTTGATCTGCGTCTCTGTGCGTCGGGCCTGGACCTTAATGTGTTCTGCTGTTTGATCAAACTCCACTTTAACTTCATTAAGACCCTTTAACTTCTCCTTTAAGGGCTCCAGAGTTTCCTGAAGCTTCTTCTTGTGTTGTGGAGCAGCTTCATCGATGGGTCTGAATCTGTGGTCGGTGTGTTTTTCTGAATCTCTACAGACGAGACACACTGGCTGCTGATGGTCCAGACAGAAGAGTTTGAGTTTCTCAGAGTGCAGACTGCAGAGAGCCTCTGAAGATCCATGATCTCTCTCCTGTAAGAAGGCCTCACACAGGTTCTTCAACACCAGGTTACAAGGTGGTTTAGACTTTGAAGATCTTCTCTTACAAGCTGGACACAGTCGACCTGGTTTCTCTCTCCACCAGCTCTGCAGACAGTCTTTACAGAAGCTGTGGCTGCAGGACAGAACAACAGGATCTCTGAAGACCTCATGACAGACCGGACAGCAGAGATCCTCCTCTGGTCTGAAAGCCATTTAGTCTCTGAGAGAAGCTGAAAACACAGCAGACAGGAAGTACAGTCAGTCATGGCTCCCTCCCCCCTCTGCTAACTTCACTGAGGTTTACTTTCACTCTGAGTCCAGGTGTTTGTCAAACTCACCTTCAGTGTGTGGAGTGTCAGCAGGTGGAAGCAGCAGTGTTGTAGCTGGACTCTCTCAGAGGAAGTTGTTAGTTTGGTCTGAAGGTGAATCTGATCGTCTGTTCTTCAGTCTGTGTCTCTTTACAGACGAAGAACAAACTGTTTCATGGTTTGTCTGAGGTGAGACAGGTGAGGGTGGAGCTGTGCCAAACCTTTTCTGATAAATGTTGTTGCTTCACCTGTAGAACAGGTTGAGTTTCACTCCAGAGTTTTGATTCATTGTTGGAAACACTTGGTGCAGCAGCTCTGTTTTGTTTCTGTTATCAAACATCCTAATGTGTAAAGTCAGAAGAAGCTAAATCTGTCAGATAAATGTGGTGCAGTAAAAAGTCAAATATAACTCGCTGAAATGTGGAGTAGAAACATGAAGAGGCATCAGAAGGAAATTGTCAAGGAAAGTACAAGGATCTCAAACTTGCAGTACTCGAGTAAATGTACTTAGTTAATTTCCACTGTGATGAAATAATTATTTGTCTTTGATGAACTGTCTTCTACTGAAATCAAGAGCAGCACCTGATTGTTCAGAAAAGCTCTTTGTGTTGACATTTGTCTTTATTTTTCCTGTTTCAGCAGCAGTTTTTCATAATTTCATGTTGTTTAAATGGAGTTCAGTGTTTGCGTCAATGCTACAGAGGCTGTTAGCTACTGAGAGCAGATCTGATACAAGGAAATACAAGTTTATGACCAGAAAATGTTCAGTGGTTATTTAGTTTTTAAAAATCAGCCATTGACATAATTACATCTCTTTTTTTCAGCTTTTCGTTCATGTTGAATCAACAGAACAAACACTAGGATACAGAAACAGAACCCCTCCCCTCCAACCAACTATTTATAAAAGCAATAAAATCAAATCTATACACAAGTTTTAAACATTGAAACAACAGGAAACAAACTGCTGCTGAAACTCCGTCATTCTGTGGACAACAGCAGCCTCTTGTGGCCAAATGATGCAGCTGCATCATGGAGCGACCACATGTAAAAGTGCAGGAGTTCATTGAGAACATGAGGTGTTTCTCACTGGGAGTGTCAGCAGCTTCACAGAGTCAGAGACAGCAGCTTAAACTTCAGGCTGATTGTCCTGTAACAACTGTTCAACCTGCTGCATCTGTCCACAACATTCATTCAAGGCTGTTAGATATCAAGTTTTTCAAACAGTGTTGGGATCAGACAAACACTGAGTCCTCAGTGATATTAACTATCTTGCTCTAATGTTTTACTCTGTGCACATTTTCTTTTTTGCTCAGTGTTGGATTTAAAGTCACCAAATCATTTGATGATTCTCCTGAAACCAGTAGAATGATGTGTGATTTTTTTTCACACCAACATTTCGACAGTTTTAAGTGTTTTAAAGTGAAACAATCAAAAATAGCTCCGTTTTTCACATGTGATGTCATCGCCTCAACATGTGTGAAGGCATGTGCAGCACATGGTTACCCTGTGGCACAACCAGTAAGTCACCTTCTCTGGGGACACCAAGGTCAGGGGTTCAAAACCCCAGATGACCAAAGTCCTGCTTCTGCAAAACTTCAATAGCAATTCTTACATATGGTATTTAACTGCTTGGACCCGGATATTTGCCGCTAACAGCTATATTTATTGTTAGTATTATTACTTAAGTAACTCAAACTCTGTTTTGTATCAAACTAAATTGAGCAAGAATTTTCTGAAATGTTATAAACTAAATGAGCAGATTAATCAATAGTGAAAATGCTTGTTATCATTAGCCCTAAAAATACATACATCACCATAAACGTTTATAGCTTTGCAATGATGCTTGAAACAGCTAGAACGGTGAAGACATGATTCATTTTCAGTCACCATTCAGGTGTGCT